ACTGAAATGTATTTCAGTCGATTGACGGTGGAATGTTTCGAACTTGCCTAATGTTTTTACAATAACATTGAATCAAGATTGCAGTACTGATGAGGCTAAATGATCAGTATCAATATCTACATAAGGAGCTAAGTAGAAGAAATGGCGTCAATTTACAGACGTTTTCTTTAAAGTAACAATCGATCAGACAAGTTTTTGGTATGGTAAAACAGAGAGTTTTCATACCTGCACAGATCCTTGGATAGTTTATCTCTCAACTTAGACTGAAATTAACACGATAAGTTCGCTAGTTATGTTTTGATGAAAGTGACTTAGGTCGATCATTTCGATGATCGAACCCGTCGGATACTGTCAATTTCTTGTCACAGAATTCCAGTCGAAAGGTAAACGGAATTTTCCAACTTATTCTTGGCCGTTTCCGGTCTGAGCTAGTCGGAACCTAACGGAACCCAGTTAGTAATTCGTTAAACAGAATTCATTGGCAAGGATATCGTCGGAACAGATACGAAGCCGGTCGAAACTGACCGGATGCAAATGATCCGGGGAGGCGCTCTTTGCATCACATGAATCATTGGATCTGAATATGCCATGCATACTTTCTCGTGCTTCTTTTTCACGGAAAAGATGATTTATTTGCACAAGATATACTTGAGTATTTGCTTTCATTTGTGTAGAAGAGTCACGAGCTATTGATAAATGGCGCAGTTTGTTAACTGTCAGCAGCTGGTTTTTTCCAACTTTCAACGAAAACAGAACACAATCAATATTCAGGTGAAACGAAGCTGAATCAATACATGTTGAGAATAAAGTGACGTCGTTGTCAGTTCTATTGCGAACGTATGCATTTTAAGACACTATTGCACAGAGTATCAGATGCAAGGCCCGCACAATTGGACGGCCGTGAAGGATGTACACCCTCCAATAATCGAAAATATTCAATTCTTTCCAGCGAAAGATGCGATTTTCTCCCTACACTTCATACTATCTCTATGCAGTTTGTCCGAACACACCCTCTTACAATCTCTCCTCCTCGCAATCATCCTTACATTTCAATCTTCTATCCTTCGAATAGGTCCTGATCAGATCACAATATCAATAAAAGACATAGGTAACAAGAAAAACGCTGATAATGACAATCGAAAAGAGCCAATGAAACATCGGTCATGTTTGAAGGATGTGAGCGTAGGTGGATGTGGGTGTGTGGGTGGAGAGAAGAAACTCACACCCACACCCACAGTCACCTCACTCTTTGAGCGAATGCCGAACATGCGTGTCGGTGGGTGTGCATGCAGTCGTACTTTTGGCTGAAAAGCGGTATGACGATTTTAGGTTAGACATCAGTAGATCCCATCGGCAAGGTGTACCGCCGTGAAACCCCGAGCATGGGCCAGAACTTTTTAGTCTGGGTGGAGATCAAAATATGAGAAGTGTCGAGATGCGTCAGTGTGTTGTGTTTTAGTGCACGTTAGCAGATGTTCGTGTTTTCGAACACGCAAATGGATGCCTGGATTCCGCCTTTTGCTATTATGGGTCGATCAGAGCGTGTGGGTGTAGGTGTGGGTGTCGATGATCGAAGAAGAAAAACTCATGCCCACACATCCACACCCACACACCCATCCACACCAACACCCACACTCCATACCCTGAAGCTAAAATAAGAAAATCAAGAATGGTTGATATTTATATGTTCGTCTTGCTTATTATCATTTTGTAGGAAAACCGTCTTTAGAATTGTGATTCAAGATAGTGAATCGATTAGAATCTCACTAATATTCTAATTATCTAAAATTGTATTGATATCCGGCGGCAGGAAAGTTTTGATTCATCTAAAAATATTATCTCATGCTTAAATTCACTGATAGCAGATGAATTAATGAATTTTTAAATAACTGTTTCCGAAAGTCTTTAGAATTTGAAATAATTGCTTCGCAGCAGAAATTTCATCAGAACTTGTCGTCGAATTAAAAGGACCATATTACGGCTGAGCTAAATAATAAAAATATTTGATGATAATCACTAGATTCATTTCTTTCAGTCGACACCTGGTCTTGTTAATGCAATAGCTTCAGTGAAATATTGAAGAAATTTGTTTATGAACATCTTTCCGACGGTGACTTCCTCTCATCAAAGATGAGACAGTAAACTCAATAGATCACCAAATAATGTATCAATGCGCTTATTACTTACAACTATCGTGTTCAGTTTGAATCAAATGCCTAGAGTGTGATCACAATTCTAAAGAAGGTTTTCCTACAAAATGATGATAAGTAAGAAGAACGTATAAGCATCAATTGTTCTTGTTTTTTCTTATTTTAACTTCAGATTGTTGATACCTTGAAATTCAATTATCTTCCTTAACACACAGTATGCGCATGTCAAATTTTAAATTTCTTAATTACATGATGAGATCTTTCATTTGATGCTAAAATGAATGAATTTCTTGAAATACAGTTCCCAACCCTCCATTGTAAGTATTTTCTCAACACATTAGAAGTCCAATAAATAATTTATTTTATAAATCCGCAATGAGTTCCAAATGTTTTATAACATATATTTTCCAAAGTGTTTTTTTCACTTTTTTTTGACCTCTGTTAGCATCCATGGTGAAAAAATGGTTTTGTATATGCCAAAAATCATTTTGATTCGTCTTGATGTAAATCATGCTTGCTCTTTCTCATTATTCTCTCTCTACAGATGTCCAGTAATATTAGAGTTTGAAACGGAACGTCAAATTAAAGCAATATTTCGGATTAAAGAAATTTGTTTTGTAGGCGGAGTGTAAAAATCCTCCCCGTTTCGGTCTCTGTATTCAATTAATGTTGTACATATAATTCTATAACTTTTCATTCATCGACAAGACAAATAATTCAATACGTTTATAAAATACGCAGAAATTTCTTCGCTTGATAGACTATCTTGAAGATGTGAAGATCCTAAAGCTATGGAAGAGCGAATGATCTTCGTACTCCTCACTATTACTGTAAAAATGTACAAAAAATATATGATGTCAAGTTACAGAAGAAATATTGTTCAAAGAATAATACTATATGAAATTCTGATATGTCCAAAGTTCTGACGAAGTTCTTTTCTGAACAACAAAAAAAAAAACTCGAGTAGTTTTCTAAGATTGTAAACATCTTAGAAATTACCATAAAATAACTTTATTTTCATACAATGAAATATATATCTGCCCTTTCTCGTCCTATGTCGAACGAAACTTTTTGTTTTTGAATTAAATATTGTAACCGAATAACAAATTTCTTCAAAGTTGAAATAAAACAGAAATACACAGGGAAAAAAAACTCATTTCTATTTGACTTCTACGAATTTTTCTAAATATTCAAAATAGTTCATAGCTTATAATAACTGTTGAAAAGTTTTATAAAATATAAAATTTATTTTGTTGTTGTCATCATTTTAATATAGAAAATTTTCAATTGCATATAAAAGATACTAGAGATTTACAAGATTTACAAAATAGTTCATTTTATTTCTTTATTTCTTAAACATTTCGATTTACAACTCTTAGAAAAGACTTTGACAAAAAATAAAATAATATAGATTGATTTCGAATATGACTCTCAGTTTGAGGTTTGGCATTGGATAGAAAAAAAAAAAACTTCAAATATTGATAAGTGAACAAGAGAAAATTTTCAAGAATAAAAAATCTAATTCTTGTAATGAACACTTTTAAATTAACACAAGTTAATTAAAATACATATGCTTTATTTCTACATAGAAACAAACATAAAGAAAATTATATTTTAGTGTAAAAAAAATATTGATTGATATTTGCCATTTAGAGATTTACAAATTTAAACTGACATTGTATTGAACTATTAATAGATTGAAAAAGAAATATCAGGAAAATTTCAAATGTTTGAATATTTTCACATACGGCAGAAGAAATTGTCGGCTTTTGATAGTCAGTTTTTCCAAGTTAGACTTCTCCAGAGAGTTTGGTTTTGATGTTAGAAGAGAGAGAATTCTATGTAGAATTTTTTGATATGTTCCTCTTTAAAAGATCTATGGACACCTCTATAGCATAGCCTTTACGGTTTCATGGATACACGTCATAGAATAGCCCTTAAGGACCTATGAGTAGGTTTATAAGATAGCCCTCAAGATGGTATGCGTACTCCATAGAATTAAGCTGGAGCGGTTACATCTTTTCCAAACACATATGGACTTCAACATAGACCTGGAGTCCCGAAGTCCAGTGATCAGTGATACAGTGTCGTCGGTGTTCGCTGAGCACCATATCGGTGATAACATCGTAAACATTTCAGTATTGTCACCGACACTACACATCTCTACTCTGACAATGATCTAATTCGAATGATAAAAGCTAAGACTGATGACAAAAGTGTAAAAAAAGAATAAAATGACGTGTTTTTATTGATGTCTTACACATATTTTCAATTTTTATCTCAGCCAAAGCAAAGAACGAATTATATCGAAAATCGCAAGAAATATTTATAATTATAATTTAGAAGATTAGCCGAGATGAATTTCCACGTTACAGCATCTATGTAGTTTAAGTACCTATCTCTTACCTACAGTCGCAGTCACATCCTCGATTTATTTACTTCAGAACTATTAATAGTGTTTTGATCCTTATATAAGTATAATCATTGTTGTATAGGTTACTGCTTCCTCAAACAGATGTTCCATGTCGCTTTATTACAACATATATTGTAATATTTTTGTTTGTTTCTCATTGAATAAATAAATCATTGATTAGAAACATAAAACACGTCGTACAATAGTATATAGAAGAGAAAAAGAGAAATCAATGCTTTAAAGGAGGTTATTTAGCAGAATTGTATTGGTTGCATATTCCAGACAATAAGAACAAAAAAGAGTATGTCAATGCATCGTGAAATGTTTTTTCTCATGTTTAACCTTCAGTCGTGCGGTTTCTGTTTGCAATAAAATAATAATTAAATTTTCTAGTGAAAAGGCAGTATAAAGGAACTTATTGTCCAGTAACAAGAGAAATGTCATCTCAGTTTGAAAAAGTATTACCCAATGAAATACTATTAATGATATTTGAATATTTAAATGTTCATGATTTGTTTCAATCATTCTACAATTTGAATAAAAGATTTAATAATTTAATCTATTCAATGCCTTTATATCATATTGATTTGAATAATATTGAACGAAAATCAACATTCGATTATTATCAACATTCAATAATACCAAAAATTCAATATCAACAAAATGAAACAGTAATTGTTTTAGATATTGATGATGATTTATGTAATTGTATTAAAATTCTCGATCAATTAAAACAAATGAATTTAAAATCATTAAGAATAAAAAACTTCAATGAAGATAATATCAATTATTTACTATCAATATTACCAATGTTTACACAATTAGTATTCTTACGTATTCAATCAAAAGTTAATTTAAATTTAAATCAATTTGTACAATTAATCACCATACCTTCATTAAAACAATTTGAACTTTTGTTTTTAAATTATTATTATCCTTCATATACGTCAATAAAATCACAAATAATATTATCGAATATTGAATATTTATGTGTTTATCGATATTTTCAAATTAAACAATTTCAAGAATTACTTCAATATCTACCAAAATTAAAAAAATTGTTTATATATATTATACATGGTAATTACTTAATGCCTATTAATAATAATCTTCATCAATTGGTACCAAATTTAAACGATTTACAATTATATGTACAGAAAATAGGTATTTACAGTTTTCTATTATTCTCAAAATATTTTATACTTAACAATACTTTCTCATTCTAGAAATAGCTTTAGTTTCTTTTTTAAGTAAACAGGATGTTTGGGTGAAAGACAGTCCTTTATAAAACTAAGATGTCTCTTAGCGTTTCATGATATTTACTTCTAGAATTAAGATCATCATACTGGCGAAGGCGGATCCCAAGTTAATTTCAACGAAACTTTTCTTATATGACCGAGATACTGTCCTGCAGATAAGACTAATAATGACGTTTGAGTCCATGACTCTCGCGCAGAAATGTTCGACAAAGGTCAGCCCAAACTTCGAATAACTAAAACGATTTTACTATCTTGAGCTTCTCATGGTTCTACGGTAGAAAATAAAGTATGTTCGATTACACAGCAACAATTCGAAGCTAGAGACGAATAAATACGAATATTTTCTTTTACTTATGTGAACTTGTTTTTAGTCCTATTTAAATCGAAACTGATTGAGATTAATAAAATGTCATGCGAATTAAAAATCAGTTTACTCTTCCTTGATGCTATCTATTTTATCTATCATAAAATTTTTATGTTTTTTTATCGTACTTGCATATTAAAAAGATATTATGAAGAATTTTCTTGAAATATTCATGATTTATAGTTCTTTTTTAATATTAATCATAAATCTGCTTCAACAAATATTATGTATAAATTAATCGTCATTCCGAAAAATATCCAATGTTTACATCCAAAAAAATGTTTTCAAAGAATAATTCAATCTATTCTACAAAGATAGAAAAATTTAAAATTTTCGTATCTAGACGTTTTTTTCGATTTGTAATAATTTTAAATTGAAAAAAACCGATATTCGAATTTTATTTTATTTTCACATTTAAAGGATTTGATGAATTACAATTATTATTACAACCATTATCTCAACAATTAAAACGTTTAGCAATATCTTGTTGGTCATTTGAATATAGTAATGGGAAAAAATGGGAAATTTTTCTAAAATCGTTTTTATTATTAAAGCATTTTCATTTGGATATCACTTTATACGAGTTACCATCAAATTCAATTAATATCAAACAAATATTATCAACATTTCAAACAAAATTTTTTTTCAATGCTCATTGGTATTTTGCAATTGATTATAATCCAAATGTTGACATCAAATTTGTTCTTTATACATTACCATGGCCCATTAAATATTTTCATACAGTCTTATATAATGTAGAAACATTATCAACAATAACAGATCAATCATATTCAACAAAAAATGTTCAAAATTTATATATTCAATTATATAATCAAGTATCGAATTCAACACCTACAGTTAATAAAGGTAATAGTCAACATTATTATTCGAATGTTGAATCATTAATTTTAATTAATCGTTTATCAAATAATAATGATCAATCATCTCAAATTATTGATGATTTATGTCATAAAATTGATTTAACGAAAATAAAATCATTAAAATTTGATAATTTTGATGATTTACAAACAACATCTATTATTGATATAATCAATTTTATACCTAATTTATTAGAATTAAAAATTATTTTTAAACTCTATTTACAACATCAAAATTTAATATCAAATATATCAACAATTCAAACATTAATAGTTTATTTTGATTCGGATGATCTCACTGAAGACATATTAACAAATTGCTTTTCATTATTATCAATAAATATAAAAAATCTAACATGTATAACAAATAATCAATATCAAATATTGAATTTATTAGAAATTTTATATCAATTCAAATTTTTAAATATAAAAAAATTATTATTAAAAATTAATAATAGAACAGAAATAGAAATATTTACAAATGAATTTATTCAATTTATTGAAGAATTTATGATGAAAATGTCTTTAAATGATAAATATGATTTTATGTATAAAATCAATGATAAAAAACAATTAGTCATATGGTTTTAAAAACTAAATGATAAATTTTTCATGTCTATTGTTTTGCGCAATTTAAACTTAAACAATAAACTTCATTTCGTTCGAAATTAAGTATTTCTCTTTTTTTTCGTAACAGTAAAATAATTTGTTTAATGTGACAGAAGAGTTCTACTTATACGTACTCAACAGGCTTTTAATAAAAAATATCAAATTATAAATCATCTTACATTGAGATTGTCAAGTTTCACTTTAGTATATATTACCAATTCCGATCTTATAGTCAGTGTAAATATTCACTACCTTGAGTTGATAATCGCTCATTTATGAAATTTCTAGATAGAATCTAAAGATTGGCACGCAATGAATAGAAGATACAGATAACTATAGTTCGAGATTCAAGTTTATTTAGATATGATTCTTGTCAATTTTCATTTATGAAAATCACTGAAAAGATTCATATATTACTATCGGAATTTTAAAAGAAGGCACTTGGAAAAAAAGCTTATAACTTTCGAACGAAAAGTCATAGCGACCTGTGCTTTTCAGCAATCGATAGAAGATTATAGGGGGGACATTTTTATATAAAAATCAAGGTTTAAATAATTGGTGATTGTGGAATCACTGAAAGAGTAGGCTCGTTATTTGGTAAAATCTCAGCCGAACAAGCTGAAACTTTCAGCATATATAGCCCCATTGTACCCCAATCTTCGCTGAAAATATCATCGATAAATCTTGTAATGACGAGGAATGGTGAGTCAATCATCATCTGGCCTTACATAAGACTCTCATTCACTCAAAATATTAGGAAATGGCCTCAACTTTTGGCTGAATAAATACCATAATCTAGACTTCATATATATGCAATAGCATCGCACTTTGATCGTAAAAATGTACGGAAATAGCCGAAGTTTGACGAAGAAATGATTTTCATACAGTAAGTATTTTAAAACAAATCTTTCCAACTTTCTTAAGAGAAATACAGAATTTAGTAATATTTTCACCGTCTCTTCTCGTTCATTTAATCAAACTATGATATAATTGCATAGATATGAAGTCTAGATTATGGTATTTATTCAGCCAAAAGTTGAGGCCATTTCCTAATATTTTGAGTGAATGAGTGCCTTATGTAAGGCCAGATGATGATTGACTCACCATTCCTCGTCATTACAAGATTTATCGATGATATTTTCAGCGAAGATTGGGGTACAATGGGACTATATATGCTGAAAGTTTCAGCTTGTTCGGCTGAGATTTCACCAAATAACGAGCGTACTCTTTCAGTGATTCCACAATCATCAATTATTTAAACCTTGATTTTTATATAAAAATGTGCCTCCTATAATCTTCTATCGATTGCTGAAAAGCGCAGGTCGCTATGACTTTTCGTTCGAAAGTTATAGAGCTTTTTTTCCAAGTGTCTTCTTTTAAAATTCCGACAGTAGTAAAAAAAATGAGTAATACACTTGAAAAGAAAGAGAGACATCATGATTGTGTCTGTTCTTATCACGAGAACAACGACAGAAAGAAAAGAATGTGTTGATAAGAATTACAATGGTATTGATAATAAAAAGCATACGCTGCAGTTGACAAAAATTTACATTAAAACAACTCTATTAGACAATGAATTTTTGGTTATATTTTATAGTAATTTTAATGTACGTTCTCGAAAATAACTTCCTATTATTTAATATATACGTAAACTAGAAACTCTATTTTAGTTTTAACATAGTAAAAATGACATGAAATAATTTTGCTTGTTTTATAGATTAGGTGCAAGAATAATCAAACAACAAGAAGATGATGATGAAAATATATATCCTGACATAGATTTCTTGCTCTACGAACTTGATAATGTACTTGATGATAATTTAAAATCGATTTCAGAAGAGCTTCTTCACAAATGTCAAATAGCTCTTGCACTTTGGTCAATTGATGGACGTGAAGATACTGATTATCCATCATCTACACCTATAGATCATGCAAATGCTGATCGTTTAATAAATAAATTTAAACAAACATATTTTGACATAGGTGGTGATCCATTTAATCGAGAAGGTTTTGTACGTGATGTATTTACTCTTAAATATCAATGGATTATTTCAGCAGTACAATATTATAGATTTATCAATTATTATGATACTGAATGGAATCCAGTCAATATGTCGAAATTGTTTGAATGGAATGTATATCCAATTGACTTCATAGATGGTTTTGCACCAATGTATCATCTTGAACGTAGTTATACGGATGAATTTGGTTATACTTATATGTTAGGACGTAAAATTCAACTTACTTATCATGAATCATTGGTGAACTTTGGTGATTATTGTCCATCATACATGGAACTTAAAACATTGATTATTGGTGATATAACTGGTGAAGCATCAATACTTCCTCTTATTGCTTCTGGTTATTTAGAAGAATAAAGAATTATAATTGTATTCAACAATTCATAGTTTACTCTTTTTCAATCCTGTCAGATATTCGAACTTCTCAGAATAACACATTATTAGGGTGTGGGTGTGGGTGTGGGTGTGGGTGTGAGTGGGTGTGGGTGTGCGTGTGGGTGTGGGTATGAGTGGGTGTGGGTGTGCGTGTGGATGTGGGTGTGAGTATGTGTAATGAGAAGACATCCACATCCACACATCCACATCCCACAGAGAAAGAATACCAGTCTCTGGATCCCCATAATATTGAACAAATCAGCGATGTTCATCAAGCCAAAAATAGGCTTCGAAATGTATTGAGTAATTGATCAACATGTTTTTGAATAGTTCCTTCGTCTACATACCTACTTCTTGTTTCAAGATGGAATGTTCTGAGTTTGGGTAAGTGATGTGAGATGATTTGTTGCCAGTCATGTCCATCGTATTGAGGAAAACTATGCACTTTCAATCGACATAGATTGGGCATCGATTTTTAAAATATCAAGGTGTAAAAGACGACTTCTAGAATATTGGAATAACTCGAAAGAAGTTATTGATAGAATGGGCGACGTTGATAGAACTCTGAAAGGAGTATATAATAAATATGATGTAGAGAGATGTTGAAGATTTTGTGTACATTCAAACAAATGTGTCAGATTTATATAATGCACACTATTCAGAGCCAAAATAGATAGATGTGTAATACTTGATGATGTCACAGCTGACTCGAGAAAGTAGAAGCCAGAGATACTCAGCTCAAACTGAGAACCATGGTGAAAATCTAAATGTGTGAGCTTCGATAGACTCCATATACAGTTTATCAAAGAAAGCACAGATCGCCCCTTCATTAATCTTTCTGAAAAAAAGCGTCTTCGAGTCAAATGAGTGAGATTGACTAAGTGTCGTTGGCCAAAGATTTCAAATTTATTTGTGATCAATCTTCTCCGAAATTGTCAGAGCAATCGAATGAGAGAAGTTGTGTATACACAAAGTAACTAAAAGGGTAAATTTAATTTTCAATTATGCTTTGATATCGATGTCATTTTCCTGTCGATTTAAGATAACTTTAAATTATTTTACTTCGTAATTTATAGAAACTAAATCAAATTATCCGTAATTTAGATTTCTACAATAAACTTATCCTATAATACTTTAAATTAATAGGACCCATATGAGGGAACAACTGAGAATTGAAAATCCTCAGCATTTAATGATGAAAGACCGCCCTAGGTGCATGAAAGATTTCATTTATATATATATACAGAGTTACAGTGTTTTGGGTTATTTTCCCTACCTTAAAAATGGGCAAAAAGAAAATCACTGTTATAGCAATCTCGAGCGAAACAGGACAAATCAACTAAGTAGTATCAAAGGAAAAAACGACTTAGCTATAATATTCGATCGTTTTCTTTATTTCTTCTTGCCAAAATTTTCAAGCGATTAATTGATTCAATGTTATTAGGCAGCATGTTTGTAAGTATGACTCATGCTACCTTTCTTTCGCCTATCGATAAACCAATGGTACCGCAAACGCTGTTGCATCATCAATCATACATCACTGAAAAATATTTGAGGTGTAGGGTATGGTTGTGGAGTATAGTATAGTGAATGACTTATTCAACTTCCACACCCTTCCTCGATTAGAATAGTGAACTCATCCCATTATGAAGATGATTACGTGGCCAGGGCACTAGTTGCTTGATGACACTGAGCATACCCTTGACATAAACTTTCTTCATTCAAACAAAATCTACCATTTGTAATCGATCAAATATTGTCTCTGAATTCAAATAATATATCGAATGTTATAAAGAACTATATATTTGATTAAATGAAATTTACAAACAAAAAAAAATGATCGAAAAGGAAAAACAAAATGCCACACTCAATCATTCAATCTATCAATAAGTAACTCTGAGAACTCGTCTAATTTGAGCTCAAATTTGCCTTCACCACGATAATTACTTGTTCGAACAAACCATTTACCTTCAAATTGGTTATGATCCAAATTCCAAGTTAATTGTAGAGTAACTGGATGTCCAATATTTTCATTTGAATTGCCCGTATCTTGTTCGTATGTCTTGATTAGATCCATTCGATGAGTTTGTGAAGAAAATACACCATCAATGTTAAATATACCACCGTCATCTATTCCTTGACCACTCACTTTTGACGTCAAACGATCAAATGAAAGTGATAAATGATAAGGTCCATGCCATTTATTATACTGATAGTATCGACAAGACCAGACACCTGTCTCAAACTGATCTTTATCATACATTCGACTCTTTGCCGATGCTTGATTGACAAATGCTGAGTTCGATTGAAATGATTTGTGTTTGTATCGATAATAACACAATACAATAACAAAGATAACTGCGATCAGGGCGAAAATGCCACCTACTATGATGACTGCAATGATACCTGATCCTTCTCCGCAGTGATACCCTCGACATCCATGCCTATTATGTGAATCATAGCTACCACCTATAACCAATTGAATCAAGAGAAAGAATTTTGAAATGAAAACAATTTTTAAATACGATTACCTCCGAAACCACTATGACCACCACCACCTCTTCCACTTCCACCATGTGCATCGTGACAGTGAATAACACTTCTCAATACAATAAGAATCAGAATGAAACGTAATACGATGTGCATAGTATGATCTGAAACAAAACGTCGTTTTTGTTGTCTTTCGGCAGTTTGCTAATCGTCAACTACCGATCAAAATAAGTGCAAACGCTCTGATTATATTTAGAATGAATGAGTAATAAAACAAATATAGGAACAGTATTATTCATTCCTTTTGGCGTATTAAGCACGTATACGAATCTATCGTCGAATGTGATCAGAAGACAAACTGAAATGTTACTCTTTTGCCGTCGGATCTGTGACAAAAATGTGCTTGCTTTTTTTCTTCCTTTGTAGAAAAATAAATCGCGATAAAATTCACCGTTGATTCTAAAATGATTCATGTAAAAAATTTACGTGTGCTTTTCTTTTTCATTTCTGTACATATTACGCAAATGATACAAGAGGGTGGTTCCATGGGATATCTACCACCATTACATGAAGATTCTTCAAACAACGTGGAGCTTTCAGCGGTTTTAGAGCTCGCTGAGCTGATTATTTTGGTATAAAAATATTGGACATTATCGGCTGGCATCCATGATTTTATGTTTTCAGTGAAAACTCACGAAAATCGATGTTTTTTTATCGTTTTTTGCTCTCCATTTGAGGAAAATCAATTTTCAATAGCATATTTCTACTTCTTGTTGTAGGATCCATCTCGAGTGTTCACATTCAAGGGTGTGGATGTGAATTTAGAGAACAGCCATACCCATACACCCATATTCTCAAGTTTTCAAAAGAGGAAGACAAATTTTATGAAATGAAAATGCTAATTTTTCGGATGGTACAAAATTAAAATCGATTTTTTATTTTTAAATAGATCTTCATATGTGTATATTTATACGAAGGTGTCCTTAAGTCTCAAAAGATTCATATTATAGAAAATTCTCTCATACTGACTATAATGTGATGGCAGCACAGATAGAAAGATTCTTAATTAGGCAAATGACTAATCCGAAAGAAAGATGAGCAGAAAACAAATGAAAATCGTTTCCTTCAGAATTAAGCAAGTGGTCTTGTGATCGAAAGTTCAAAGATGTCTTTTTTTTAAATTGAACGTGACTATGTTACAAATAAGATTTGAAAATGAAAGTCAAACAAAGCAATGCGTGGGATGTCATGAAAATCCTATACAAAGTGCAAATGAGTGTGACTGGTGATAAATTGCGACTTTTATTGAATTAATAAGTAAAATTCTTTAAACTCTTTACAGTAAGAACTACGAATATTTTTACAAAAAACATTGTCTTTGAAATTGATTTAACTTAGTTTTACGCAAATCAATAATTGAAAAAAAAAGCAATATTCGTATTTGAAGTAATGGTATCAACCTGTTGATTGTTCGTATCGTAAAAACAATCTCATATTTCTTTAATGGCACTTTATCTTCTACAAAGCCTTTTCTTTCTGAAAAAAATAAATTAGGTAGGCGTTAGAATCGTATCGATTTTCTATTGATTGAGAGATTATGTTGTGTGCTTTTTAACTTTTCATGTATGTAATAAAAGATGAATCTATTCATTAGAAATAAAAATGGGTATCGATACTATTCTGTTTCATTTCAATATAAGCTATGATCTCGATAGCAACTCGTTCTTTCGTACTTGTCCTGTTCAGGTAATTGTAAAATTTATTATTTTCTTAAACATTTAATGTTCAACAATCTTTCTTTTCAGCCTCACAGGTTTGACCTCCTTGTTTCATTTTAATCATTCTGCTATTAATTATATATGCTATTAGCACGCGTGAAATCTCAAAAATGCTATGGGACATCGCAGCATGGTGTATGCTCATCAAATCCTGCCTGTGCCTGTTTCCATATGCCAGGCACTGCTAATGTCAGTTTGTGTGGCTTCCAGTATATGACTTGTTCTGAACTAGTTACATGCGAACCATCTAACTATCGCTGTTACCAACCACACCATATCTGTGTTTATCATCCTCGATGTCATAATCTTCCTGTTTGTTATCCAATATCAATGATTGATCAAAGAATCTGTCCACCAATAACAAGTAAGAAGAAGAAACAGTGATCGACCGGCTTAAGTGGAGCTAAAATCTTGCTTAAAGATATTTCTTCATCTTTCACGCATTTTCATATGTGCAGCACCATAAGAATGTGAGAACGATGATAAAAACTGAAGGAGGCTTTGGAAAAACTAGATAAAGTATGACAAAATCAATATGACTTTTAATTAACGAAGAATGAGTTTTTTCTCCTCTTATTCACTACATTGGGGTTTCAAAATAATTCGATTTGATGCAAATTAGTTCTGCATGGCATGCCAAATGTTTTACTTTTTGTGAGCATTAAATTCATTCGACTGTTCTTATACTAAACGACACCTAGAACCGTCATCTTG